AATTCCCCCAAATTCCTCTCCCCAAAAATCCCTCTCCCCAAAACTTCCCCCAAATTCCTCAATCCCTCTCCCCCTTCCCACGATTTCAGCCCATATCACCGCCACGACACCGACGGTCCGACACCACCAGCTCGCCCTCCGTCCGTCGCCGACGACGCCACGCCGCCCCGACACCGACGCCCTCCGTTGGTGGGAATGGGGTTGTGATCTTCTGCTTTTTTTTCTTTATTCATATTGTCATGCTTTTGCCTTTGTGTGTCTCTTGCATTGGATGGGTTGTATAAAGATACTATCGGTTGTGGATTTTTTATGGAACGTAGTTATTGAAATTTGTGGTTTTTTCACTCATCATTAACTTCAAACTTAGCTTATGAATTGCTTATGGAGTTGTATGTCCAGTTTTATTTCCAGGAAACACTTGGGTGTGAAGTTGTATGCCCAGTTTTTTGTGCATGCTAATTGTTTAGCAATGGATGAATTGCTTATGGAGCTTACAATGTTGTTTAATTTTCTAATTTGGAGGGCTTTTGAATGTTTGGTGATATGTTCAGTTGCATAAGATGTTTTATTATATTTATACCCATCTCATTCTGAGTGTTACCCTATTACACGAAATCTTTAGAATGGTTCCTATTTTCTTACTATTTTTTCTAATGCAGAGTAATGAAGGAGAAAAATGCCTTAGCTGAAAGGCTGAAGAATGCTGAGGCTGCAAGAAAAAGATTCGAAAGCTGAAGAATGCTGAAGTTGCAGTCTCTTTCAATTTGTTGTTGATATGTTGTGTATATCCATTATTTGTTGAAACATAGACAGTGTGAATTTTCTTGTTATGTATGCACCTATTGTGTTTGCTTATGAGCATTCCTCTTCATTTGAGAGTTGCAGTCTCTTTGTTAGTGTGAATTTTCCTTGGTTACATGGTTAGCATTATGGGTTTCTGAGCATTTGTTGAAGGTTACAATGCTTGCTACTAATAAGTATGATATCCCTCAAGTGAAAGTGTCAGAACTACTGGGTATGTCTTGTATTTGCTTTTATTGGTCTTAGATGAGTAGCAAAACATGCACAAGGGAGAGGCTGGAATGCTGTGGCTTGTTTATGAATGTAGGTAACTTCAAGTGCCGTTTTAGTGTCCAATGCGCTTTCTACACAACAGTGGTTAATCCTTTAATTAGTGCTTCTAATTAGTGTTTTGTCCTTTGAAGTGGTTTGTACTATTTATTAAAGATTAATATGCATTGGTTTGCCACTATTTGTTGTCACCGGGTTGTATTCAGACTTCATTGGACTTGGATGCTAACACCTTTAATTCAAAGTTTTGAGTAGATAATTTCAACTTCATTTCAGCCCATCTATTTGCCCTCTAATTGCTTGCTCTCTAAATGAAATAGAAGAATGATAAAATGGTTGGTAAGCCATGAGTTGATACTTATAGGTCCAACCTTTTTCTGCTCAAATCTAAAATAACAAAAGAAATAAGATTAGAAAGATAATGAAAAGAAGGCAATAATAAAACATTCCAATCTTTACAAAATGTGACAATTATTTACTTACCAATAACATAGAGGAACAATTAGTTTTCTTTTTGTCATCAACTGTCATACCTGTAGTCAATCTTTCAAATGAGACAAATCAGCCAAATAAAAAACTGAACATATTCCTAAATGAAACCCATCCAATATCATAATAAAAGAGCATATTTGAGAGCGTTCATGCATGTCGCGTATTCAGAGAGGTAATAATAAGGGATTCAGATCCTCTCCACTACAAAAAAAAATAGTGGAGGGACCACTACATAATCACAGCCATTGATTATCTAGTTGATGGTTATGATTTTTTCTTTTAGTGCAAATTAGGAATGAGTGCAATACACGGGGATATGATAAGTGTTAGATTTAGATTGTATCATAACCGCCTACTAAATAATCAATGCTTGAGATTAAAAGTAGTGGTCTCTCCACTACTTTTTTGTAGTGGAGAGGATCCAAATCCAATAATAAGGGTCAATTATTTGGCAAATGAAGGCAATCTAGAAAGTGAAGTCAGTTGCTTAGAAGCTGACAGTACTAGGCGCATTGTCACTTGCTGAAAACCTCGAACTAATTAATCGAACACTGAGGGAGCTAGCTGCTTCGTTCTCTATATATGCAGCAAGAAGCCTTTGCCAAACAATTCTTCTGTGATTAATTAAACAAGCAGCCCATCGATCATCATTCTCTACTTTATAAAAAAAGTCCATCAGAGTAAGATGACGGAGTATATACTATACATTCACAATTAGAGCAAAGTATATGCTATACGATGATTTTTATTATCATCTCCTTTTCTTTGAAACTACTCACAACTTGCTCTCATTCATCAAATCATGGGGCCATTTCGTTGGTGGACCACCGACATAAAATCCGACTAGATTAAAACTAGTCCATCTAACATCAATCAATAAGGATGAGAATTTCCTGCAACAACTGATTTATAGGTAAAACTTACAATAGTTGTATAGCAAGCTAAATTAATACCAATCCACAAACGAAGAGCATATATATCCTACTTTTATATTCATTGGGAATCACTAAAAAAGCACAGAGCATTTACCAATCATTAGCACTTTTAAGTAGATAGATAAATGTAAATGATGATGAAAGAAGTCGATGGGGCTCACATGGCAGCAATCGAAGCGAGGGATTTAAAGAAAGTGGCTCCATGATTCACCAGCTTCTACGCTGCGGTCCCGAGCTCCCTGAGGTCCGATTCGATCAGATCGCTGGCGATCCGATCCCTCTTCAGCATCGTCGTAAAGTACCCCATGGCCCTCTTCGGTTCTTCGGGCTCCGACTCCTCCGTCCCCGCTGGCTTGCTCATTTAAAGGATTCAGGCTTACTTCGGACCGATCGTTGACGCGTGTAATCGTGGGAAGGGGGAGAGGTTGGGGAAGAGAGAGTTGGGGAAGAGAGGGTTTGGGGGTTTGAGGGTTGGGGAAGAGAGAGATGGGGATCTGAGTGTTGGGGAAGAGAGAGTTGGGGATCTGATTTATTTGGATCTGGGATTTGGGGTCACGGGGGGTTTTTACACGAGAGAGATTTTCCCCTAGAAATCGCTGGCTTTTTTCAAAAAAACCCTGCTGAGAAGCGCTACAGTGTTCCGAAGGCCAAATGCGTACGCACTTATGCGTACCTGAAACGTTC